GGGAGACATGAAAAAAGATATAGAAATTATGAAGGAAATTAAGAATAACATAGTAGAAAAACAAAACAAAACATTGGAAGGAATGAACAGCAGATTGGGGGAAGCTGAGGATCAGATCAGTGAATTAGAAGACAAGGTAGAAAAAAAAAAATCACTCAATCAGAGAACCAAAAAGAAAAAACAATTAAACAGGAGGACAGTTTAAGGGAGTTGTGGGACAGCATGAACATAACAACATTTGAATCACAGGAGTGCCAAAAGAGGTAAAAAGTAAACAAGGGTTAGAGAACCTGTTTGAAAAAATAATGGCAGAAAACTTCCCTAACCTGGTCAAGGAAAAAGTCGCACAACTTCAGGAGGCACAGAGTGTCCCAAGCTAGAAAAACCCAAAGAGGTCCACACTCAGACACATCATAATTAAAATGCCAAAAATTCAAGACAGAGAATATTAAAGGCAGCAAGAGAAAAGCAATCCGTTACCTACAAAGGAGCTCCCATAAGGCTGTCAGATGACTTCTCATCAGAAACTCTACAGGCCAGAGGGAATGGCATGAAATATTCAGGGTAATGCAAAACAAGTATCTGAAACCAAGATTACTCTATCCAGCAAAGCTATAATTCAAAACAGATGGTGAAATAAAGAGCTTTCCAGACAAAGAAAGGCTAAAGGAGTTTATCACCACCAAACCAGCATTGCAGGAAATGTTAAAGGGACTGCTGTAATAAGAAGTTGAAATAGAGAGAATGAGAAACATAGGCATAAAGAAATAAAATGGCAATGAATAAGTACCTATCAATAATAACCTTAAATATAAATGTATTAAATGTCCCAATCAAAAGACATAGGGTAGCTGAATGGATAAGAAAACATGACCCAAATATATGCTGTCTATNAATATATGCTGTCTACAAGAGACCCACCTCAGAACAAAAGTCTCACACAGGCTGGGAAAAAATAAAACAAAACAAAAACTTTTCAAGGACTTTAAAGGGGAGATTGACAGCAATACAGTCATAGTAAGGGACTTTAACAACCCCGTCTTTACTGGATAGATCTTCCAGACAAAAAATCAACAAGGAAGCAGTGATTCTAAATAACACACTAGATCAGATGGATTTAATTGGCATTTACAGAACATTTCACTCAAAGCTGCAGAATATGCATTCTCCTCAAGTGCACATGGGACATTCTCAAACTTAGACCACATGGTAGGACACAAAATAGGTCTTTACAAGTTCAAGAAGACTGAAATCATATCAAACATCTTCTCAGATTTACACAATTGAATACTATGCATCTTTAAAAACAAAGGATCCCTTATCCTTTGAGACACCATGATGGGACCTGGAGAGTATTATGCTAAGTGAAATAACCCAGCCAGAGAAAGACAAGTAGGACATGATCTTACTTATATGTGGAATCTAATGAACAAAATACACTGATGAACAAAATAGGTCCAGAGACATAGAAGCATGGAACAGACTGACGAATCTCAGAGAGAAGGCAGGGGTAGGTGGGTGGGGGGAGATTAACGTAAGAATTTATATGTATATATGCATAACCCAGGGACACAGACAATAGAGGGATGAAGTCCTGGGGGGAGGGGTGTAGAGAGGAGGGGATCAATGGGGGAAAAAGGAGGACATTTGTAATACTTTCAACAATAAAGGTAAATTAAAAACAAACCAACAACAACAACGAAAACACAAATGGAAGCATATACCATGCTCATGGATGGAAGGATTAACATCTTTAAAACATACATACTACTCAATGCAATCTATAGATTCAATGTAATCCCTATTAGAATACCAACAGCATATTTCACAGATCTAAACAGATATTCCAGAAATGTATATGAACCACCCCCCCAAAAAAAACCACACCGAATATCTGCAGCAATCTTGAGAAAGAAGAACAAAATTGGAGGGATAACAATACCAGACATCAACCTATACTACACAGCCACTGTAATCAAAACAGCCTGGTACTGGCACAAGAACAGGCATATAGACCAATGAAACAAACCAGAGATCCCAGAAATCGACGCATGCCAATGTGGTCAATTAATATTTGACAAGCAGGCAAGAGCATACAATGGAATAAAGATAGTTTCTTTAATAAATGGTGTTGGGAAAATTGGACAAGTACATGCAAAAAGATGAAACTAGATTCTAACTTACACCATACACAAGAATAAACTCAAAATGGATAAAAGACGCCCAGCCGGGTGTGGCTCGGGTTGAGCGCAGACCTAGGATCCAGGCTATTGGGGTTCGATTCCTGGTCAGGGCACATGCCCGGGTTGTGGGCTTGATCCCCAGTCGGAGGCAGCTGCTCAATGACTCTTTCATCATTGATGTTTCTATCTCTCTCTCTCCCTCTCCTTTCCTCTCTCTGAAATCAATAAAGACATATTTAAAAAAAAAAAAAAAAGAGTAACTTTCATTAAAAAAAAAAAAAAGAATAAAAGACAAGTGTAAGATGCAAAACCATAAAAATCCCAGAAGAAAACAGACAGCAAAATCTCAGACATATCTTGTAGCAGTATTTTCACTGATACATCTCCTAGGGCAAGAGAAATAAAGGAAAAAATAAACAAATGGGACTCCACCAAACTAAAAAGCTCTGCACAGCAAAAGAAACCATCAAGAAAACGAAAAGGAAACCCACTGTATGGGGGAACATATTTGCCCATGATACATCTGATGAAGGGTTAATTTCCAAAATATACAAAAAACTCATAGATCAAAACCAGAAAGATAAAGAATCCAATTAAAAAATAGTCAAGGCATCTGCATAGACACTTCTCCAAAGAGGACATATGGATGGCCAAATAGACATGAGAAAATGCTCAACATCGCTAATCAGCAGAGAGATGCAAATTAAAACCACAATGAGGTATCACCTCACACCTGTCAGAATGGCTCCATCAACAAGTCATCAAATGACATGTGCTGGCGAGGGTGTGGAGAAAGGGGAGCCCTGGTACAATAGGGTGATGAAGGCCTTGGGGGGCAGGGGCTGGGTGGAGGGGGGCAAAGCAGGATAGGAATGGGGGACATCTGTATTACTGTCAACAATAAAAAAGATATTAAATTTAGTCTGTTTAAAGAAGTATTATATTACACTTTTCTGAGTGTCTGAGAGAAAAGAAGACAATGGAGTGGTTTTTATTTCCCTTTTTGATATTAAACATTCTTCAATAATATAAAAATAATAAGAGAATAATTGCTCATAAAGTATTAAAGATGTGGTCTTTTTGGTGGTCTGCTGGTGGGAATGCAGACTGGGGCAGCCACTCTGGAAAACAGTGTGGAGTTTCCTCAAAAAGTTAAAAATGGAGCTGTCGTTTGACCCAATGATCCCACTTCTGGGAATATACCCTAAGAAACCTGAAACACTAATCAGACAGAACATATGCAGCCCTATGTTCATAGCAGTGTTATTTACTATAGCTAAGATCTGGAAACAGCCCAAGTGCCCATCAGTGGACGAGTGGATAAAAAAGCTGTATTACATTTACACAATGGAATACTACATGGCTATAAAATTAAAAAATAAAAAGGAGTTCTTACCCTTTATGTCAGCATGGATGGACCTTGAGATTATTATGCTAACTGAAATAAGCCAGTTAGAGAAAGACAAATATCACATGATCTTACTTACATGTGGAATCTAATGAACAAAATAAAATGATGAACAAAATAGATCCAGAGGCATGGATGCATGGAACAGACTGACAGATCTCAGAGGAAAACGGGGTGGTGGGGTCTGGAAGAGATTAACTGAAGAACATATATGCATATATGCATAGCCCATGGACACAGATAATAGGGTGATGAAGGCCTTGGGGGGCAGGGGCTGGGTGGAGGGGGGCAAAGCAGGATAGGAATGGGGGACATCTGTATTACTGTCAACAATAAAAAAGATATTAAATTTAGTCTGTTTAAAGAAGTATTATATTACACTTTTCTGAGTGTCTGAGAGAAAAGAAGACAATGGAGTGGTTTTTATTTCCCTTTTTGATATTAAACATTCTTCAATAATATAAAAATAATAAGAGAATAATTGCTCATAAAGTATTAAAGATGTGGTCTTTTTGTTTACACAAACAGGATTATACAAATGCTTATTTTCCTGTGAATTGTCTTTCTACTTAATTATAAATATTTTGGAATTTTCCTTTTATATAGCCTTCCCACTTAGTCAATCAGTAAAATATATTAAAACAAAATGAGTTAGCTTTGTTACCATGAAATTTTTTTTAATGCTAAATTTGAGAAAATTAGTGCCTCATGTAGCAGAGAATATGTATTTTACTAAGTTTCTTGAGTCTCATGTTTTCATATGGGGTAAAGAACTAGTACTGAATAATATTTCTGCCCTACAGAGGAGCTCTTAAACTTTGTAGGCCACCTGTTTCTTTAAGAAGTTGTCAGAAATCTCCAAGTAGAATAATTTTGCATACATTGCGACTTTAGGGTTTTGTAAAGTTCTTAAAGCCCATTAGGGACCCCAAGTTAAGCACCACAGATTAAGGGCCCTGTAAGTGGGAAAGGCTACCTCCACTCTATAGGCACCTAATTCATGAATGGCTTCTCTGGCTGGATTTGATTGTAGGACCTGCCCCTTCATGTTTATTGTTTCTGAAAAGTGCTTCCCTTTCCTCACCACAGTGCCCCAATCCATTGCGGACCCACGGAAGTGATCTAACCTCTTTCTACCTGCATCAGTATTCTAGATCCTCCCCTTGGCCTTGGCCCAATATTAGTTTGTGGGCTGCTCTGTGGTGATTGGGGCAGGCTGCAAGTTAGACAGGGAAGGAACAAACAGGGGAACTCTGTGGTCTCCACACCCTACGGCTCCTTACAGCACAGACTGCAGGCAAGAAGAGAAACCCTCTTCCTAAGTTGTGGAATGACTTTTGTTGAATTATCCACAATGTTATTCAAAATGAAATAGACATCTTGGACAAATGTCATTCTGATCATCTTACCTTAACAAAGCATTTGAGAGTTGAACAAAAAGATATTCCAACATCAGCAAGACTCCAGCTGTCCTCCAGGGCTGCTCCAGCATACCTCAGCTCCAGATACCGCCTGCCTTGTTCGTCTTCAGAGACAGGAATGCGGAAATAATCCTTAAAAATCAATAGCATATTATGAAAACAGCACGCCTTTACATTACTGGACCAACAATGTAATTTCTTTTTGTTTACATTTTCCACTGAGTCATAAAATTATTTGGGAGAGAGGGAATAAGTATTAGACAGGATTTCTTAACTTGGAGTCTATAGGCCTCCCCAAAGTTTATGGATGTAATTTGTATGGGATAAACCATAATTTATTTTTATTAATTCTAAATGAAATTGAGATTTTAAAAATTATGCATGTAGGCAACAAACTAAAGTAGCTGTAGTTGGCTGTACCTGTTTGACGTTGTTACCAATAGGAATCACTGATATTTTTATATCACCTTATAGTTGCTGCAGATACCTCAAAATATTATGCTGATCATTACTTTGAAATTATAATAGTTATTAGGTACATTGCTAGAACTTAATATGTTAATAAAGAAGCCCACATGTCACTATATTACAAATTTGTTTTTTAATGCTTGAAAATTGTTTTTCAATATGACTGGCTTCCTTTTCTTTGTATATATTTTATTTTATGCATTTAAAGACATTCTGAGGAGTTCATGGGCTTGCCAGACTGCCAAAGGGATCCACAACTCATAAAGGTTACAAACCTCTGTGTTAGAAGATCTAGATTTCAGTGAAGACCATACTGCCCTAAATACTACGTAACTATAATTCAGTGCATGCTCCTTAGCAAATGGAAATGACCATCTCTAAGTTAAACACCATTTGGTGGTCAGGACCTAAATATTTGTCTTGATTTCCCATTTTAGAGTGAGTATTTAAAAGAAGTTTATAAGAAAGTTATTGCACCCAAATTATTTCTTATTCTGGCTCTGTGATCCTAAGTAAGAAGCAACCTGAGCTTCAGTTTCCCTAAAGGCAAAATGAGGCTGGAGCCCAGTTCTCTGAAGTCCCCTCTTCACCTTCCAATTGCTTGCTCATCAAACAAGCCATGTATCTGAGAACTGGCAAGCTCAGCTTGTATAGCCTAGAGTTAGGGTCTTAATGTGTCCTTTCATGAAGATTCACAGTAATAATATATGGGCCACGCACAACCCACGGGTTTCAGAAAGAGAAGTTAAACTTTTTTTCCTGAGAATTTACTCAGTTTGCTTTCCGGTCTAACGCCTCCATAGTTACCATCTTCTTATCAAACTGTTCTGTAAGCAAACAAAGATATTTTGAAACACTTTTAGTTCTCTGTTTGCTGAAAATGTACCCAGTAGTAAAATATCCGATTCATGTGCTGTATAAACTTCACTGTGTAGCTAAAATTATTATACATCTTCGTGGCTCAGGGACAAAGCACATACCTTTATCATCAGCTTCACAGCCTGCACGGTTTCATCTGCTGAAACTTCAAACGATTCAAAAGATCCCTCAAAGGCTATGAAAATCCTCATTTTCTCACAAACAAACAAACAACCCCCCCCCCCC